CCCTTTTCTAACTTTAATTTTTTCTTTTTTTTAATCTTTTAGTCCATGCATTGGTTGTTCTTTTATTTTTTTTTTTTTTTTTTTTTTTTTTTTGTTAAAATTTTCATAATTGTGTTTTATTCATGTTATTCAATAATTTTCCTTAATTAAATTTTATGAATATTTAATATTTATTAAAAATTTTTACATTTAAAAGAATAGTATTAAAAAGTTATAATTACAAAAAAAAAAATAAAATCTTCTGAAGAATAAATCTGTTATGATGTTGTAAAATAAGTATAAATTTTTTTTTTAGAATTATAAAAATAATATAAAAAAAAATATTATACAAATTACCTTTTTTTAATATTTTGAAATTATAATTTTTTTAAACAAGAAAAAAAAAAAAAAAAAAAAAAAAGAGTATAAAATAAACTAAATTCAATTGTGCACAAAAAAAAATATTATAAATTTTACTGTAATTATAATGTAATTACAAAATGCTACAGAAATAAAATTTATGACAGTAAATAAAAAAAAAAAAAAAATGACTGTTCATACTTAAATTGTAAAGTTAATATAGTAGTTATTCAAAATAAATAAAAATAACAAAACAAAAATAGCATTAAAAAAAAAAAAAAATAAAAGAATTTTATTATATATAAAAAGAATAATAAGAAAATTTTAAGTGTTACTACTAGAAAATTAGTATTATGAATATTATTATTCGCAAGTATATTTATATATTAACTAAAAATAAACGTTATCATTAGAAATTTAATGCTGTACTTAGTTCCCCACTTTCTGAATGATTAAGATAATTTTCTGTTTGAACATTTTTTTTGTTACCATTTGTATTATAGTTGCCGGTTAATGGAGAAGTTTCATCATAAGAAAAGTCAAAAAATGATTCACGAACACTTGTTGGAACTTCATCTACTTTCTGTTCATTTTCTAAGTTAAATTCATTAAAAAATATATTATCAGGGACAAATTTATTGTTTCCCTCATTATAATTAAATTCATTATCGACATAATTTAATGGTTCTTTGTTAGAATATAATACAATTAAAATAACTTGAACTAAACTTAATAAAAAACCACATAAATTAGGTATAATCAAAAAGGCATCTCTTAATGTAAATCCATAAGTTAACCATAAAAAGGAGCACATCAAACTACCTATAGTCATTTCTAAAGGAATTAATGATGAGTTTTTTTTTTTTATGACAACCTGAATATATGATAAAGGTGCACCAAAATTAATTATACTTGATACAGAAGCTATAAAACCAACAAATGTCTGATATTGTTCATATGATAAAATATATAAAAGAGCATATAAAAGAAAAGATATGAGTCCACATATTTTATAATAAGAATACAATTTTTGCTTTAACCACATATTTTTACAATTTTTATGATACACTAAAGAATAAAGTATTCCTAATAATAATCCAACTAAGTTTGGAAAAACTATTGCTGAATTATTTATTAGTATTCCATATATTAACCATAAAAAGGAAGAATAAAATAAGATTAAGTAAGGTAATCCATCTAATTCTCCAGTTGATTTCCTTTTTAATATTTTAAATATGGTAGGAAATAATATAAGTTGCATAAATATAGATGATGAAGTAGATAATATTTTCAAAAAATATAAATTTGAACCTTTTGGATGATTATTATTATTATTATTTATTTCTTCATATATTTTTTTACTTGTTAAATCAATATATTCATTTTCTGAATTGCTATTTTCATTATTACTCACTATATCTTTTTTTGGTATGTTATCATTTCCTTGTTCAACAACATTTACTCTTTTATTTTCTACTTCCATTTCTTCTTTTTTTGGTGTTATTTCTTTAACTATAGAATGTTCAACTTCCTTTGAATTTTCCTTTGGTTTTATATTTTCCTTAGAAACTTCTGTTTCTTTTATATCTTCTTTTGAATTCTGTGTATTTGAATTTAAATCGTCATTTTCTAAAAATGACTCTTTGGGACTATTTTTATTTTCTTCTAATTTTTCAGTTGTACTGAGATCTTCTTTCTCTACTTTTGATTTACCGATATCTTTTTTATCATTTTCTTGAAGCTCTTTAAGTTTTTCCAATTTTTTATTTTCAGTAGATTTTTCTTCTTCCGCTTTAGAATTTTCTATTTTAGAACTTTTAAAAGCTTTTGCTTCTCTTTTTAAATTTTCTACCTGTACATTTTCAGAAATTTTTGTTTCTCCAAGTTTTACATTTTCTATTTTTAAATTTGCAGATGGATTTTTACTTTTTTTATTATTTTTTTCATCTTTTAATTTACTTGCTGTTTCTCCTTTACCTTCACATTTTATTTCTATACAATTCCACAGCAAAAATAGAACACTTATTAACAAAAGCCTTTTTATAATACCCATTTCATTTTTTATTTTTAAAAGTTGCAAATATTTTTACAATTGTTAATCAGTATAATTAAAAAAAAAAAAAATAAATAAAAATATAAAAAAAGAAAGGTCAAAATTTCAATTACATCTACATAAGGTCCTATTATTTTACATACTAATCATTTTTTAATCTCTAAATATTAAAAATAAAAATTTAATATTTTCGAGATAGAAAATTTATAATTTAGTGACAATTTCTTTTTTATCCATGAATAAAAATATTTTTAAGAATACAAAATCAAATTAAATAAATTGATTACAAATTTCTTTGAAAAAATTTAAACAGAATATGATGAAAAAAATTATGCAAACATTTCTAATGAATTAAAAACAAGTTTTAAGTTAAAATATATTAGGCATGCGTAATTGAATTTTTTTTTCTTTTATCTTAAATTATGGTATGAAAAATTGTTTTTCTATTTAAGGAAATTCATTTTCTTTTATCTCAAAAAATTCAGAGAAAAACAAGATACTATTTTACATTTACTATTTAAATCTATAAAAATAAAAAACACATAAAGAACAATGTGTAACTAATTTTTTATTTAACATGAAATTAACAAAAAAAAAAAAAGTAAAAAAACTTAAATTATAGTAGCTTAATTCATATGTAGAAGAGTTTAATGATCAACTATAGCATTATTTTAAACTATTTCACTTTATTTGTTTCATTTTTGTTATTAATGTTTAAAAAAAAAAAAAAAGGAAAAATTGTAGTAAAAATACAAAAAGATATACTTTCTAATATTTTTATTATTATCAAAAAATTAAAACACAAAAAAAAAAAAAAAAAAATTGTACATAAATGTTAAAGCTATTTTCAAATTAGCTATTTCAAAATATTATAATATTCTTTATTCTTTTTAACTATTTTTTTTTTTTTTTTTTTT